CAACCCCTCGTTGTGCCGCACGAAGAGAGGGAGTCTGGATGCTACTTGTCCTCACACCTGTTTGAGCCGACTCTGACTCTGATCAGCTCGTAGTCGCAGTCGACCGCGCAGCACTGTGTAGGAGGCAGTGAAAATGTACCTTTGCACTGACATGAGTGAAATATGAAGTATGTGGGGGGCCTTAAAGCTGGACAGCACCCTGAACATACCTGCCCCTGGTGAAACGTGGGGACGGCAGCATCATGTGGTTCGCTCCCCAAACAAACTATTAGCTCTCTGTTCATTGCCTAAAGACTAATCTTCGACATGTTCCCTACCATTGACCACAGTCAGAAACCTAAAGTTAAAGATCTCATAGTTCTGCATGAAATAATGACCTAATGCCTCACTAATGATGTTACTTTCCAAATCTATTCCCCAATGACTCAGTTCCACCCAGTCGGCCGTACAGCCATTGGCCACCACTGTACCCTTCACACGCCAGCCAGCCAGTCAGCCAGCCGTGCATCTGAACAAGCTCCGGCCCCGAATGCCGGAGCCATGACATGACTTCATCATCCCAAGTCTGCAGTAAATACATCTGGAGAACTCCTTCTGGGCCACAGCATCAATACCTTCCCTCGACACGATCCTCTGATCCTCTTCTTCTCTTTCGACCACCGCTCCTTTTTAGCAAAAAAATCCACCTTTTCCACAACACGGCCCACACCCTCAGTGGCATGTTTGTTCCTAGTCTTGGCGCTAATTAGGAATAAGCACGTTAACGAGCACAGCGTTGAGGGTAAAACTGCAAATGAGCTTAAAGACCAACAGGTCAAAGAGCCATCAAAAGCAGATGTGAGGATGTAAAAGCGTTTTAAGAGACCCCCCAGTATATGCAAAGTGTTCGTTCCCCCGTTGAGCGTTTCCACACTTTGACGCGACACAAGCGCAGCCTTCAATGCGATTTGTTGACGTTTCTTTCGATAGGCAAGCAGAAAGCAGCCCATGTCTGTCTGTGTCCTATAAACCGACTCAGAGTTGTGCTGTGCAGAAGGTCAACTCCACCAGAAGACAGAGGCATGTTTCCAATGAGCTTCCCACCTTTGAAGTCCACAAGTGATGTCTGTCTAGTCATCAGAGTGGCCACCAAAACACACGAGTCCTAATTATAGCGTCTCACAATGTGTGTGTGGGGGGGAGGATCCTGTTTTCTTATTTTTTGTGCATATATCAGCGTTTACCTCACAGACACACACCGAGCGCAGTCCTGTGCAGCTGCTCTATTTCTTTTGCTTTTTCTGCAGGTCCACCGGGGCACTGGGACCGATTATATGGATTAAACTCTTTTGAAAATGTGCTTTACGCAAAGCTGGCACGTTGAGCGGCTGTAAATATCCCCGGCATGCTAAGCTGTGTGAAGCTTATTGTTTTCCATTGTACAACGGGGGAACCAAAGTCGGGGCCTGAGGAGGTGCTGCGTGCAACATGTTGCTCCCCAAATGAAGACCAGATTTTCCATAAACATTGTTGCTTCCTGTGCGCGCTTGTCTGTCTCCTCCCATCTGGCTTTGCTCCAGTATTGTAAGTTGGAAGAAAAAAAAAGAAGGGCCAACATAGGAATATAATTGAAATAATCCGGTGGTTGAAAACAGATCGCTGCAGTGGAGTCCGCTGTGACCTAAATGTTCAAAGTAATAACAAAAAGATTAAACAGGATAAACCTGAAAACATAAATAAGTTCCCCAAGTTGAAATGTGAAAAATGTGGCATGTTTTCATATTTGACCCTCTCCCCTCCCCTCGCTGGAGTTACAGCTGCAAATCTTTTGGGCAAATCTTCACCAGCTTTGCCCCGCCTGGAGGTTTTTAGGCCTGCTTTGTTTACGCAAAGTCATTCCGCCTCTGACTGGATGGAGGCCTTTAGTGAACGTCAAATTTCAAGTCTTGCCACAAATTGTCAATTTTAAATTTTTTCTATTCTGGACTTTGAGTGGGCCATTCTAACAGATGGACATGCATGAAGCTAAACCGTCCTACTGTAGGTCTGGTCGAACGTTTGGGGTAGCTGTCGCGTCGGAAGGCAAACCTCCTCCTGAGTGTAAAGTGATGGTATCGTACTCCAGCCCTAAGGGTCGCTGTCCTGCAACTTTTAGATGTGTCTCTGGGCTTCAGGACGCCTAGCTCCAATATTAGGACAAGGGACACATCTGAAAGAGGGACTCTGGCCCTCAGGGCCTGCAGTTTGAGACGACTGCTTTACTGTAGTTTTCCATACACTGCTGGCGTACTATGCATATTCTGCGAGCTGCATGGACTCAGCGCACAATGTCCTGTATACGGCTGAGATTTCACGGTTGAGTGTACAAATTGCATACATTTCTCAGATTCCTCACTACCAAGTTTGAGTAGCTAGTTGGGTCTCTATCCTTGTTTCTTCTCCACCAGGGCCACCTGTCAGTGTGTCGTAACTTTTTGTGCCGCTCCTGAGTGGAGCACCATGGACGGCTACCAGGATGTCAATATGGCCAGGAAACAGCCGTATGAGCTGTTGGCTAGTTGCATTAGCTAACAGCTAATTAATCCCCACCAACGTTGAGTCATTGGTATGGCAACATGTCCGGTGAGACAAATAGAAACGGCGACACAATGATGTGTGAACGTCATGGCAACACTGCGACTGGCCTGATCATTTTTTCATGACAAAGTTGGAATCTGCTTTGGTGCTTCTTACTAGCGCTATGCAGTCGTTATTTTACCACTTTTAAGGTGTCTAGACTGCAGCGTATCTAAAACACTGACTGGCCAAACCTGGTCTGGATTAATCTACGCAAAACGGTTCTGATATAATCTCGTTTGTAATCTGCAAAACCTTTGCTGGATTTGTAAAAGCAAACAAATCGGTGCAGAATAATTCAGTTCAGGTTGAATCAGCATAAGTGCTCCAGATGATCAGTATGTGTATTGAAATCATAGTCTTTGGCTGAATGCTCATCGGATGCAACAAGCCACATTGTTAATTGAAAAGAGACGCCTCTCTTTGTGACCGTTTGTTGTCAACTCAACAGTCGGCCTCCAAAGTCATCTGTCAAATACAAAACTGAAAAGAGAAAGCTAGATCAAACTGAATATCAACTCCCTTCTGATTGAAAGAAAAGTTTCTAAGAGAGGTTTATGGAAACAAAATTCCCCTTCAAATCAGAGGATCGTTACAATAAGTTCAATTGAGTTGAGAAGAGCAACTAGACAGCAACTTGCAAGCCTGAAACTTTTAGACTGAACAATGTGGGTCACAAGTTATTACTCTGGTGTGGCCTTTAGAGTATATTTTAGGTGTACAGTGGATGTGGTTCATCTGAGTTGTTCCTTATTTCAGTCACTAATCTGAGTGGAAAAGAGGTTGTAAGGTTGGTGTAAAACGACGGAAACCAGACGCATGGAAAACAGCGAGCACTCCAGAAGTGTCTCTTGTATTTATATTCTCTCCAGCTGCGGAAGTCCAGTGCTGAGATGTCACCCAGCCACAGCATTTTTCCTATGTGGGCGTTCAGCACGGAAAAGAAGAGAGTGGTCAGTGACGAGGTCACTGAGGTAAAAAGAGTCGCTTTTTAGGGAAAAATCCCCAAAAAAACTACATATTTGAGGGTTTTGCTTTTTATTTGGGAATGATGTGACCTGATAGTTTATGACAGTGGAGTTGAAGAGGTGGACTATGGAAGGCCAAAAGTGCCACAATTCAGAAGACAGATTTTTGTTTGCATAATTACTTAGACATCTGACAATAGTTTTTCAGACAAATAGATATTATACTACTTATTAAATAAATCAATCAAAACTTCAATTAAAATGCATTATGATCACTGTGACCTTTCAATTTGTCTTCAACGTGTGATTGATTAGCCTGCTTAGCAGCGCAACTTCCAACCAATCACATTGAGCAGAGCTGCATTAGTCCAACTAACTGACAGAACTAAATGTGTCATGTACGGCAGCTTGTCTTTGTGAAACTAAAAATGAAATTGCATAACAGTTGTAAGTGGTGTTTGTAAATAAAACATATATTTCTTATGTTGCGTAATTGATAACATATTTGGTAAATTAGCAGACAAGTGAGGTTTGATTAGCAATATTTCATCAGCCTAAAACAGAAAAATTGCCTCTTGAAAGTAGGTACAGCTACCATGTACAACTAACGAGGCCTGAATTATTTCAACACATAGAAAACCTCAAGATCTGAGAATGGGTTGGATTGACCAGAAACATTCAAGAAAGACTCAACAATGAAAACACATTGTTGAGATTTATAAAACTAAACATGGAGACGAAAAAGAAGAGAAACTGATGAATGTGAAAACTACTAGAAAAACAAATAAAATGCATTTTTCGTCTGTGTCTCCATTTCTTTGTAGACACAAGAAAATGCATTTTTACTTTTATAACAAAAATTTAAAAATTGTGCCTGCACCGCCAAACTCTATGCATTATTTTGTACCCTTCAAGCATTTCAGTAAAGATTTAATGCTCATTAATAATATTGAATTTCAGCACGTTTGGCCCTCCATACAGACTGATTTTGTGCCTCTCACATCATCGCTGCTGCTTTTCGCTTTGTCAGCAAAACTCCATTGCGTTTACCAGCATCATTGGCTGAGGCTGCAGATGCTTACCGATCAACCAACACAAATGGCCGATTAGCTTTAAATATGTCTTGAAACGTGACTTTCTAACAGTCACCAGAGTTATTTTAAGTTTGGGTGCAAGATGAAAGCTTTCAATGTTCTGAAATGAACCTTTTTATGGTAACCTTGTGCTGCTTTGTTGCTGCCTTCCTCAAGGATTTTGCCCTAGTTTTCTCCTCATGCTTACATTTGTGCCTTTATTTTACATGAAGGCATAAAAATCCAAAACCAAAGAGGGAAAAACTCACTTTGACTTAGTGTTTGACAGTTTTGCAAACAACATTCAGCTTTTCTCTCAGTTTTCGTGTGTTTCGGATGACCAGACGAGTCGGTTTCCACTTACTTATCAAGCACAAAGTACAGGTCAAAGGCGCCGTGGCAGGAGCTCTCCTCCTCCTCCTCTTCCTCCTCCTCCAGCAGCTCCGGCTCCGCTCTTGCTGATGGAGAAGAGAGGAGAAATAATCCCACCAGAACCAGAACCGGACGCATGTTTAGCACAGTTCTCCAAACTTTCGATCCTTAGTCTTTTGCGGGAACACACACACACACACAAAAAAAAAAAGTAAAGTTTTTCTCTCCGCAAGTGTTCTTACGGAAGGTTCGGCTGGTGGAAAAGAAAAGTCTTTCAGCTTAAAGCTCAGTGCATAACCAGGACCAGTCCAGTGACGCTCTCAGATGGAGAGATGCTTTTTCTCAGATGCAGAAGAATTGCATTTCTTCTGCATCTCCCCCTGCACCTCCGAGAAAAACATCCAAAGTCAGCCGAAGAAATTATTTGCTTTTTCTGTCAGAGTCTCAGTTCGGAGGTGAAAAAGTGCTGAATGGGATCTGGGCTCTGCAGAGCGGTGGTGTTTGGAGCTGGGAGAAGTGGGAGCCCATGGGACAGACTCCACTGAAGTGGCCCAGGTTTCATGTTTCATCCTGAGGAGGAGAGACAGACTGGGGAAAAAATGGGTTAAGATCCGATTTTGCACCTCCCTCATGGCTGACAGGAGACTTTTACCAGGGAATGGGATGGGTCGAACCAAACAACGCTCCAGAGTGATTATTACAATCCTTTATCAGCACAGCACCTTCATCAACTCCTTTCTTTACAGTGTAAAGTTTACACTAAATTAAGCTTAGCTGTTTATGTAGCCTTTGATTTTCTTACTAAGCCTAGAAAGTATTTTTGGACACCTGAAATAAAACAACAAGGTAACTTGGAGCTTGCATTTATATGCATCAGAAAATGAATGAATGTACATACAGTAATATTTAATCTTGTCCCACTGATGGGCACCGCCGCTAAATAAAAAGTTAGTTCTCCCAACCCCAAAGCATTTAGACTATTGTACTAACTACACTAATACTGTGTTTAGAGGAAGCTAATGCTAAGCGCTAACATCCTTTCCCTTGTCTTGGAAGACAAGCACCAGTGTAATTTTGGAATTACACTTGACATGTTCTGTGATGCATCATATTGTGTTTGTATCCGGTTTTCCACTGTTTTACTTTGTTCCTGTAGGTTTCTTGTTTGAAAGTACGTAATAGTCAATAACCAAACCCTCAGCACAGATGTCAAAGTTCATTCAGCTGAATGTTTGCAAAACAGCCAAGCAAATTAGAATTTGTCTGGAAATAACGTATTCAGTGGAAGCTAAGCGCGCTAAGCGTTTTCAACGATAGCAAACGCCAAGGAAGCTAAGAATGCTAAGTGCACTAAATATTTTCAAAGTTAGGGAATCGCTGAAATGCAGAATGAAAAATTGGTTAGCACAATTTTTTATTCTGCTTTCTAAGCAGAGTAGCTTAAGTGCACCCGAACCTGCTCTGTCCCAATCCGCAGCCGACAGTTTTGTTTGGAGGGTTTCCCTCTGCTAACCTCTCCTGACCCTGTTATAAAAAGCTTTCACCATATCCTGATTCTGCCTCTGCCGTGTTTCATGCCTCGGACTGTGTGCTCACACAGATGTCTAAAACTAGTTTTCTTCCACCGTTTGTGTTCAGCTTGTGGATCAGATCAGAACGTTGACCTTTGGGTTCCATCTGATCCCTGTGGCTTTTCTTCTTGTGACTCTTCAAACGTCACAAGAAGAAAAGCAAACGTGTGAAAGAGGCTGAACTCCATCGGCAACATTAAGCATTGGCTTTCTCAGATCTTTTCTCCACTTAAAGAAGAACAAGACCGAACGGATTTTGTTTGACGCTTCCAGTATTTCATGAAGTGTTTCTCAATGTTTAGGTCTTTTGTACCCGTTCTCCAACCAGGTGGTAAAAAAAAAAAATCTAAGACTCAAACTTGACTGCAGCTTAAAACTCCATAAACTGTCTGATTCTGATTCTGCTGCTAAAACAAGCTTCTTTCAGCTCTTCCTGCTTTCTAAAGTGCAGACACTCCTGGTAGTGATCTGGAGAAGGCCTGAAATGCCTTGTTAGCTCTTGGCTTGGTTACTATGATGTTTTTATAAGTCACCACCAATCAGTCTGTCATTTTTATATATATATTTTCACTCCCCCAATTCTTTTTACCTCCTTTTATCGTGGTTTTATTTTTAACTAGAACTCGTTCTGTTTTATTGCGCCCTGCAATTATCTATTTTGTAAAACGCTTTGCTCAACACAAGACATTGCCAGAAGATTATTATTTTTAATCATCATCTCCATTAAACCTAGCATGCTTGTTTTGGACTGTAGCTGGTGCATTGGGAGAAATTACATTTTGTTATTTCCTGATTTTTTTTTCTGTCCACAGTTAATTTTTTTTCTTTTTCTCCAGAGAAATATTTGCCTTTAATGGACCTTTAATATTCTCCTGTTTAAGTCTTCATACAGACAATCTCATGAAGTCGACTTCGTACCCAACACCATCGCCGCCATGGTTGTCAACACTTTGTCCCCTACTTAACTAATTTATTGTTTACTCTTGAACCCAAGCGTAACATTGCTTCAACCTCCATCACTTTCATTTTAAGACAAATGCAACATTTCTACTGTGAAGCACCTCCAGTTACTTTTGTGCATTAGTGGTGAAATAAACAAAAAGACCTGCATTGCCTTTGTGTTCAGTGCCAAGGGGTGCAAGAGTCTAGGGAATGTTTTGGCCTGAATTAACTCCATGTTGCATTTTGAAAATGCTCTTTAAAAGAACCTTTTGTTTCCGCTTCACATCAAATTAAAACGAGCCACACACTTATGAACCATCTTTATTGAGTCTTACCCCTGGAATTGATACAACCCAAGTAGGTCCAGATGACATGAAATTTAGGACAAACATCATTTTACATCCACAGTTACGACTGCACATGTGGAGACGTTAGATGTTCAAAATGACTGTTTTTCAAACCTGGCATACCAAGCGCACAGCGTAACACAAGAAAAGCAAACGTTGAAGGCATATTATACCCACTTACGCACTCAAACATGCAGTAAGACTCACGTTGACACAAGAATTACAATAGTTTTTCCACTTCCACTCATTTTGCGGAAGCAGCCGTCATTACCCTACGTACCACTGAACCTCTAAATTGCAGAAAACAATAAGGTTTAAGTATTTTGAGACTTAGGAACGGCATACTCTGACCTACATCGTTCTCACAAACAAGCCCAGAATTCGTTGCCAAGGGGAACCAGAGCTCTCCACAGCACCGCTGCTTACTGCTGGCCTCCCATGTGCTTGTTAAAGATGCCCTTGGCGACCTCCAGGGCAGCATCAGCCGCGGCGGGGATGTGTGGCGTGACACCCACTCCCTCCCAAGCTGGCGCGGCCGAAGTCTCAGAGTGGACCGTGGGGATGCTGAGGAAGATGTTGCTCTCACCAACAGGGAAGACCTTCGGTGGGTGGGAACCCCCGGCAGTGGTCTCGCCAATAATCATGGCGCGGCCCAGCTTTTTCATGATGTAAACAAACTCCTCTGCGGCACCCGCCGTAGCCTTGCTGGTCAAGATGATGAGGCTTTTCTTGGAGCCATACCTTACACCTGAAAGAGCAAACTTTTAGTCGTCTTCCTTCACTGTAGCAAAGGTCTTTTTTAATTTTTTTATTGATAATAATTCTAATTGTCTTGTCATTACCAGTAAGTTCGTCCAGAGTTCGGAGCTCAGTTGTGGTTCCAGATGGTCTGTCGTAGAGTTTGTCCAGAAGAACCTCCTTGTCCCCATCGAAGAAGTAAGAGCAGAAACCCGCGATGGCTGTTGTCGGGCCACCAAGGTTGTTCCTGCAAATCAAAGAATCAAACAAAACAAGAACATTTTTGTTTCCAAACGTTTACATATTTACACATTTGAGAAAGACAGAAACTCAGAGAATAAGCTAAGTTCAGTTGTCTTTGTTGAGATGCCAAGGAATTATAAGCAAAGATGGCAGTATACATTATGAGCTACAATTTACACATGAGCTAAAAGAAAGCCAGAAAAGAAAACCCACCTGAGGTCAATGATCATAGCGTTTGTGTTCACAACTTTGTTCCAGATGTGCTCCACAATAATCTGGGCAATCGGCTTGACTTCTTCAAAGTCTCCAAACATGTCAAATCGGAGATAGCCGATGTTGTTTTCGAACACATCAGTGTGGAAGGAGATTTTGATCAGCTCAATGTACATCTCTGGAGAATATTCCTGCAAAACGAGTACAGACAGAATTTGAATCACAAAAGATGTCTCACATTGAATTGTTTTTGAACTTACTTCGTGATGCTTCCAGATTGAATCATCTGAAAGCATTTGTACAACTACATGTACTCCATGTTTAAAGAAAGTTCTCTTTCAGCCGTCTTCAGTTGGAGATTACCCAAACTTTTCTAAACTTATGCTGTCTACCTTAAATGAACCTTTGACAACATATCAGTCAAAGAATGATAGAAAACAATCTATTTACCATTGGTGGTAGGGCTGGGGTGTTGGCGGTGGTCTTCAGACTCTTGTCACCGGAAAGGGTCCTGAGGTCAGTTGACAGCTTTGTCTCCAGACCTTCTTTACAAACAACGCTGCTGAATTCTCCATTTGCCAGAAGCTCTCTCAGCTTCTCTGCAACATCTGCTCCAACACTCTCAAAGGCGTAATTGTTGGCAATCAAGCTGGCTGATTCCTCAATGATTCCTGGAACTTGAGCTCGGAGGTTAACGATCCTGATTGCAGTAGCAAGGGCATCTTCTGCGTCGACGTCCACATCTGGGCTCACACCTGTCAGCTCCCAGGTTGAGCCTGTAATGGGGTTGATGGACTTTGCGGTAGGCACGGTAACGTAGAAGTCAGTGTCGGCCACTTTTATTTTATCGACTTTCACTGAGCCCCCAGCGGTCTTCTCACCAACAATGGTGGCTCTCTTCAGGCTCTGGAGGCAATAGGCAACATCTTCAGAGATGCCCTTTGTGTTTTTGCTAGTGAGTATAATCAGAGGCTTGGTCATACTGTATCTCTCTCCCAACAGAGTAGACATAGACATCAGCTTGGTGGTGGTGTTCGAGGGTCGGTCATATATGCTGTCAATGTGAATCACAGGCTCGGCTTCGGTAAAGTAAGAGACTATGTAAGGGATGCCAGAGATGTCCCCGCTAATAGTGTAGCGTAGGTCAAAGATCAGAGCTGAGGTGGGCAAGATTTTATTCCAGACAAGGTCTACAAGCAAAGGACCAACCTTCTCAGCAACCTCTTCTCCAAGGATGTGATCAATTCTCAGGTAGCCAATGTTATTTTCCAGGATGTCCAGCTTGATGGATGTCTGGATAATAGTAACAAGCTGCTCAGGGGGCAGCGGAGGCATCTCCGGGTGAACCGCAGGAATATAGTTTGGCTCATAGGAGACCATCAGCCGTGGATCGCTCACTGTGGTTTGGACTCCATTGCTTAGGACGCCAGCCAGTAATTCGCCGTCTGGGATGTTGAGTACTTCAGTGTTGCTTGTGGCTGCTTCAATGTCCTCCTTCATCCCCACCAGCTTCTCTGGTGAGCAGTAGTTGTTCATGACGATTTTTGCCAAGTCTTCAATAAGGCTGGGTGGAAATGAGGCACGCAGAAAAGAAACATTCCCCAAAAGCAGCAAAGATGCCACCAGAAAAAGAGTCTTTGCCATTTTTTAATTATTTTCTTTTGTCTGAGAAAAAGTGAGCGTATAGGAAGTGGAAGTTTGAAACCGAACCTCCGTCTCAAGTTTGGTCCTTTGACAAGTGGCACTGGTTTGGTTGTAAGGTTTCTGATAACACCTTTATAAGAGGATTTTGTCCGCAATAAACTTTTAATCGCATTATCCTGAGTTTTGGTGGAAGAGAAAAACAAACAAGCTATGTATGTGTACTAACAAGGTGTTGGCAAGGATCTTGGTCTTTGCACAATGTAGTCTGGACAATTATTCAAAGCTGTCTGTGTCGGGTAATCACTGTTTTATAACAGAAACATCTAGAAGGGTCCTCAGCGTGCCATAAACATTCATTGTTCCTTGGTAAGTTGTTTGATTGCCAAAATGCAATTTGAAATCATCTGTAATTTTCACCTATTAATGCGTTGAATGCATTTTATTGCATGTTTAATATGAAAACAGAAGAAAAAAAATAAAACAACTAAACTGCAAATATTGCAAGAACAATACCTGTAAGAAACAGGCAGCCAAAATGTGCCTTACTATTTAAATACTAGAACAATTATTTCAAAGACATAACAATTGCTGCTTGATTTATTTCACACATTTATTTGCAGTAAAGTAGTTGAGTTGAGGTGAATAGGAACCACAGGTTTGCTTGGTGAGAGCTCCCTCTTCTGGGCATTAGAGCACAAAAGAACAGAAGTAAAAACATTAACTTATGCAAGATAACTCAGGAAATTACATTTATACACTGGCACTAATAACTACAGGAATTCAGATAACAAAAAGTAAATAAAAGGGAAAGCCTCCCAAAAACCAGAAGAAAATGTCACTCTAACTAAATTATCAGTAATATTAATTTGTAAAAAATCCGGCTAAATTAATTGCAGTTTTACATGTCAGATAAAATCAAACTAATTCATTTATATGTGCATATATCATACATGATATTTTCCTTTATGAACCAATGCTTTTTTCTCTAACTGATGATGAAACCATATCATGGAATAATGTGGAACATTTCAGTTTGACCAAAAGTTGACACAAAGTGATGATTGCCACTGAAAATATAATAATATAATATAATTCATGAACTGGAAAACAAACCAATAACTCGCGGAACCAGGCTCTAAATGTGGATGGGCAAATTTTTCATACAAAGATGATAATTCTTCTAGTTTTACACAATCTCAATCATAGAAAATCTTTTCAGGAGGACGCAAAACACAGATGCAATAAAACTCACGATAAGAACTGAAATTATTATTTCCTATGGTTTTAAGCCAACTGCCTCTTCTTATGCTCTTTATGTTGCTGGACTTCATTCTCTTATTTTCTTTATGTGTTCATTTATTTTACAGACACATCTTATAGTATGAAATCTCATAATTGTCAATTTACAGTGCTAATGGCCTCTGTTATTTATGCTTTATAACTGAATATTACAATAAAGTTCTATAAATAATAGACTTGCACTGGGTTCAACATGACAAAATCAGGTCAAAGGACAAGCATTTTCCAATATTTGACATTTATAATGCTGCCATAAACAAATGTTTTGAAAACATTATCTTCACAATAATTCTTGATATGAGGACATAGCAATATAGCAGTATTGTTAAGCATCATCAATTATTTTAGCAATAATTACAGGAAATTCTTTCAAAATTAAAACTTCTGTCAAAGTCTAATAAACGTCTTCTAAAAGTTGATACCTTTTTCATTGCTCTTGCTCTCTCTTCTTGAGCCTGGCTGCTATAATTACCTGTGCTACTGAAAGAGCTTTAGTGACCTGAGTGGAAACATGTGGCTCCACTCCCAAAAAGCTCCACACTTTCCCAGTTGTGGGACTTAAAATAATCTGGTTGGGAATGGAGGCGTACAGGACAGTGTCCCTAATCTGATAGGTCCCACTGGACAAAGACCCTCCGGTTGTTGGCTCTCCAATAACCGTAGCTCGATTAAGGTCACTCATGGTGCGAGCAAATAATTCAGCTGCTGAGCCCGTCATGTGACTTGTCAGGATGAAAAGGTCCTTTGAGGATCCATATCTTTGACCCCTGAAGTGAGAAAATGTCATGACTTTAGTCAAGGTGTTGGTTGTACGGTCATAAATGGTGTAGAGATGCTGTGGTGGTTCAGCTTCAAAGAAATACGTGCAAAAGAGGGGAACCGCTGTGGAGTAACCACCGGTGTTGTACCTCATATCAATTATGAGGGCTTCTGTGGTCACTATCTTCTTCCACACTGAATTTAGGAGCTGTGGACCAACTCCTTTCACCACTTCTATGTCCAGCATCATGTCAAAGCGCAGATAACCAATGTTACCTGGTAAAACTTCCGTTTTAAACAAAGATTCAGCTATGTATCCAAACTCTTCTGGTGAGGGCATCTTCGGGATGTCATGAGGTGACTCAGGTTCAACGTCACAGTGGAAGACGTGAATGCGGTGATCGCCTGAGCTTTCCTGGAGATCCATTGTCAGTTGCGACGCCAAAGATTCAAAGTCAACCACTGGTCGATACAACCCCTCCCTCCATTTAGTTAACAGCACCTGGCTTACATTTATTGCTACTTCTTCAATTGCATAGTGTTGCTCCAACAGTTCCCCAACTCCTGCAATAAGGGTCCCGAGTCCCTTGTGAAACTCCATAACTTCATAAACACGGTCCAAAGCTTCCTCTGCCAGTACAATGGCATCAGGGACAACACCACCTCCCAGCCAGTATTCCCCATTGTTGTCTATAAAGTTTATAAAGGGGACGGTTATGGCAATGTCTGTCCCTTGTATCTCAAATGTCTTTGAGTGCATGAGGTTGCCAGATGTAATTTCCCCAACGACTGTGCCACAACTTAAGGACTGTATTAGGTAAGCAAGCTCTTCCCCAGTGCTTGCAGTGTGGTAACTTGTGAGCACATAAACTCCATGTTTGGAGTTGTAAACTGGTCTTGTAGTTTTCGAAAGAGATTTGTGTTCTGTTGTTGTGTTCTTAATTCGGTCATTTATTGTAAAGAAGTTCCGTTTCTGGGAGCAGTCGCGCAGGTAAGACAATATTAGTGTCAAAGAATTAGAGGAGCCACGTGTGTTATATCGTAGATCAATGATCAAGTTATCAGTGTCCTTGAGGGGTTCCCATATCTTTTGAGCCATGAGATTTTCCAGTTCAGGTACAGCAGAAGTCTCTGCTAACTCATCAAAACGAAGATACCCAGTATTACTCGGAAGAACTTCCACTGTAAAAACTCTGTTAACGTATCCCTTTAATAATTCCGTATTATCTGGTATTGTATAAAACTCATGGTCCTGTTCTACTCCAGAATCATCATCTTGCATGTATCTGATTATCAATCGAGGATCTTCAGACACAGTCTGGAGGTTTTGGTTGAGTCTAACAGCTAAGTCCTTCTCTGATCCAACAGATAATAAGTCTGTTGACTGCAAATGTTGCAGAAGTGTTGAAACTCTGTCACTGAAAGCATATGTATCTCTCATTATGTCTGAGATAATTTGCATAACCTTTGGAATGGCATACCTCAGAGTCAGAAGGGATTTGGCCTTTGAAACAGCTTCCTTTGCCATTACATTGATTGTTGGCGAAACACCACTCACTTCCCAGCTCTGGCCTGTGATTGGATTAATGGATCTTGCCACGGGAACTGTTATGTAGAAGTCTGACTGAGCGATTCTGATCTTTTGGACTTTTACTGACCCACCAGCCGATCGTTCTCCCACTATAATGGCTCGCTTAAGTTGCTTTAGGGTGTATGCCACAGCCTCAGCAGCCCCCGTTGTGCGCCTGCTTGTCAAAATGATTATGTCCTTCTTCTTACCATATCGTTTCCCTGGTATTGATGACATGGTCCACAACTCCTTGGTTGTATTTGAGGGCCTGTCATATATTGTGTCAATATGAATGGGAGGCTCTGGTTCTGAAAAATATGAGATTATCACTGGAACCCCAGAAAGTTCTCCACCTGTGCTGTACCTCAGATCAAAGATTAGTGAGGATGTCTGGGCCACCTTGTTCCAGACGTTGTCCCACATTTGAGAGCCAGCCTTTGCTACCGTCTCTTGATCAATGATCTGATCTATGCGTAAATAGCCAGTGTTGTTTTCCAAAATATCCACCTTAAAAGAGTTTCTCACCAGCCGCCTCAGTTGGTCTTTCGAGAGCGACTGAGGTACTGGCGGCACGACAGGAACAGGATTAGCCTCATACGACACCGTCAGTCGTGGATCACTCAGGGCTCCTTGAACTCCAGCTGTGAGCAAACTTGCGAGGGTCTTCTTGTCTGAAATCTGCAGAATTTCTCCACTGGTGATAACTTGTTGGATGGCTTCCTGCATCCCAAAAAGCTTCTCTGGAAGACAGTAGTTCTCCATGAGAATCTTGGCAATTTCTAAAATAAGAGCTGGCTGGAACGATGAGGTAACAGGGAGAGCTGATACAAGCAGTATCCACAGCAGGGGTGATGTCCGTTGGTTTGTCATGACTGAAGTCTCACGAGGATAAAAGATCTCAAGCTTCCTGTCAAGTGATCTCTGTTAGTCTGTGTCCAGAGATAAAGTGTTTTTTTATGACTTTTTTTTCCACAAAAACTTACAGCATAAGAGGCTTTAGTCTCAAATAAACCCTCGATCGCATTATCTTTTGTGATTCAGTCAGCACGCAAGAGATGACAGAATGGAAATTTTGTCTGGCTGACATAATTACACGATCTCTAAAAAAACACCAGCCGACCTGGCATGGCAGCTGATATTAGTACAAGACCTGCATCCAGGAACATTTTCAGCTCAGACCAAACGCTTCCGCGTGGATCTTGTTTTCCAACACCACATGGTTATTTTAATCGCCTTAACCTTAAAATGCCCTTTCACGCCTTACATAATACAAGCCTGTCAGTGCCAACATATTGGAAGCTAATCAGGACACTAAAAGTTGTCAAATATTCTTTTGTGTGGACTTTGTGTTGAGCTCGTTATCTGAGCAGGTAAGAGGATGTATACGTTATCGGACTCAAGGGGTTTGAATAAAGAAGTCCTACATCAAGAAATCAGTGTTCAAGAATGAAAACGAAAAAGGGACGTTCCAATCTGGTTGCCACATTTTTATTTTTTTGGCTTTAAAGCAGTTTTAATCTATGCATGGATTATCTAAAGAGGTCACTGCAGCTCAGAGATATTATTTTTTTGCCTCTCCTGTGTTGAATTGGTTGTCTGAGATTAGAATTATTTAAGTAGACTTGCATGAACTAAAACAGTTTTCTGCCTCTTTATTTTCATAAAAGAGACTAGAAAATTAGTAAAGTAGTGAACCCAAAAACATATTTAACTGCTCTGGTCACTTCATAACATCCTTGAAGGGCATTTAAATCTAGCAGAAAATAACCTCTTTACTCATTCATGAGCTTTTTTGGAGTCTTATGTGTGAGTTTTTTTTTTTTTACATTAATCTTGAGATGTGAAGAGTCTGATCTGAATTTCTTGTCAATATTCTTAAATTATATGTAACTATTTCTTTGCAAATTCTGATATTCAAACACGTTTGAAATGATCCATGTTTAATCAAGAATTTTTCATTTCTTTGTAAAATCAGATTTGTTGACACCTGAGTGTCTCGTAACTGGGGACATGTATTCTTAAAGAATATCAATAGGAAGCTTAAGACCTATTGAGAAGGTCTGAAGCTTCTCAATAGGTCTGAATGAGAACAGATTAACAAAGACTGACGGTTGATGTGTTTCCATTACCAATCTATGCTAAACTTTGTCAATATTCTTCTACTGTTGAGAAAACACAATTTAGGAAATGCTGTGTTTTCATTAAATAACAATGCAAATAAAATCACACTTTAGTAAGTCTGTTCACATGTTAAGTCAAAAACATGTCATGACATCATCCTCCAACTACTTCCCGGTGTCGTCTTTTTCTTGGTTTGAGCCACTGGTAGCATCCAGTTGCTGGTCATGTGACGTATGTGATGTGAAAAACAAAGTATTTCTGTAGCAAATTTATTTTTTAAATGGTAATCATGTGGACAAGGGAAACGCAACTATTGAAATTTTAGCGGTTTTCTCTCTGGTGCCAAGAATGAGGAAGGAATGAACTAAAACAGTTTTAGTTGGACTCCATGCCTCCTTGAATGACTTAAACCACAATTTTGTGAAGCCTTCTTCTGATTGGCCAGTTTGCACCTGGTGATGACTCAGAACTTAGCCTGATCGCCCTGTTCAGATGAATAAAATGTCTTGGTCTGCATCGTTCACACAGTATGAACATCAAATTTCTATGCAGAAGGCCTCCATGACTTTCAATTTTGATTTCATGGAACGTGTTCTTGGTCTTGGTGCTTTGCAGACATTAAATGGTGTTGGCCTGGGTTCTGATGCTACTTGTAGACCAGATTAATTATGGGCCACAAACACAGGATGTCCAAGTGTTTGCACATTCATGTCCCCTATCCACTTCTGATAAGCCGGTGTCACTGACATCAAGTGTTTACAAATCTAACAGTGTGTACAATAAAAACTGAAACAGAAACATTGGAAATGACTCCAAGAAAACAGTGGGAAATCCTACAGGAGGTCATAGAAGAACATCCACAGTACTTCCAGGAAACAAATCACAGTCAAACATGGGGTGGTGTAACTTTTGTTTTAATGTTATTTACATTACCTTTCTTTTTTTTCTAAAAGTCATGAGATGAGAAGCAGGAAATGAGATTGAAGACTCATTACAAATTTAGGGGAATTTTGCAGCAAAACTGTATAATTTTATTGATATAATCGATTAGAGACAAGCATCCATCATTCATGTATAGCATAACTTATTCAAATATATGAAAGCAGTTATTTACAGGTCATTGACATAGTACATATTACTATTAAACACATTTTTATTCACCAGTTAATGTACAAATTGAGGCGTTATGATGCCTAAAGATCAGTTATTCAGTATTTACCCTTTCACTATATTATTGCTACTAGAAGCTGGTATAAAAGAAAAAAAAAGATTCTTGTCAGATTTTAACTACAACCTCAGATTAAACCCAGAGGTATGAATATGAATATTGACACATCAAAGCCACAAACTTGAATATATTTTGAGATTTTTATGTTATAGACCACCATAAACTCCCTATTTGATAAATGGAGTCCACCAGTGAGTGATTTAATCTCAGTGTAAATCCATTTCTGTTTCTGGCCTCGGTGGTTTGTTAGAGAACAAACGGCATCATGGACAGGGAGGCAGCACAGGCTCCAGATGAAAGTCCTGAAGTGTGAACACTGATCAGTGTAGATGTACAACGTTCCACCTGAATCGATGGTGTGGGCTAAAAACTAAAAACACACAGAATCCTGGAAAAACTTCATCTACTCAGTAAAACATGGTACTGGCATAATCATCCTGTGGGGATGCTTCTTTGTCAACAGGGATGAGGACGATATTGTTATACACAACTGACAAGTCTGAGATACTTAATGCATAAAGTGTCTGTCTTTTGGTCTCCTGCCATTTGGTGTCATTTCAAATGCTAGAAAAATAATTACTTACCAATAATAAATCTTTTATTTGAATTTAACAATAAGGTAATGGCAAACGTAATCCAACGCTGAAAGTGCAATCCCTTAATTAAAGGAGTGTTGAAGACTTTACAGTGGAAACCCATCTGTTTGTGGTTCAGGATTTGTGGATTGTTTTTGTGGAGAAAATCCAAAATATTCAAACAAAAACAATAAACTATTTCAATGCTACTTTACACGCTATTGTGCTGATAGAAAGTACTTTAACATTCCTCTTAGGGTAAGCGCAAGTCAACAGCTGCATGACCTTTAACCCCTCTGGCATAAACTGTGTTTAAAACACAAACAGATTCACCTCCTCCACCTGCTTTATCCCGACTCTTTTCCCACTACCTGCAACCGCACTCCGCCACCTTCATTTCCTCGTAAAGGTATCTGATAGTGATGCGCCCGTTCTCCTTGTACATGACCGTTATGGGGTCCAGTTTTATGGGCACGCAGCAGGCCATGTTGGCCTTCTTGGGGTCCCGGAGGTTCAGCAGCGTCTGGATGATGGCGTGCCTCGACGGGGTGGACTCGTCCGTCAGCGGGTAGGAACACGTCCCGCGGCACTCGAAGGCGTCGTACTCCGGTGGCGCCACGATCCAGCTGTTCCAGCCGATGTCTTTGAAGCTGACCCTGAGCGACGTTCTGCGGCAGTACTCCCCGTCCGCCTTCCGTTTCGTGCGCCTCGGGCGCCGAACGCGGGGGGCCTCGCGGGGCGCCCGACGGCCTCTGTCCCAGTCGGCCCCTGTGTGAAGGAAAGGATCTTCCTCATGGAGGGCCATCTCTCTGAGCTCCTTCTGTCTCTCCGTCCTCCTGCTGGTGAAGTCGTCCGAGAAGACTATTAAAGCAGCTGCGGAATCGTCTCCGACAGACGCGCTCATGTTCAGACAGCCCGCTCCCTCCTCTGCTCGGTCGCAGGTCTTCCTGTCCACCGCGACATCGAGCGCCGTGGCGCCACGCCCTGACCCAATCCGGCTTCGAATGGCGGCCGTCACATCGAACGTGGCCCATGTGCTCTGCGAGGCTGACAGGTTCCCGACGTCCAGCGGCCGCGAAGGAGAGGTGTAGTTGTCGGCCTCATAGACTTTGACTGCGGCGTTGAAACTCCGGAACGTTACATTTGACCGGATATCTGGGAAGAAGAAGAGCTGCAGCTCGGCAGTGATGATCTGTTCGTGGTTCGGGATGCTGACGTTGAACTGCAGCCGGAACCTCGACTTTGGGCCGACTGACAAGACATCTATTGAAGATACAGAAAGAAAAAGATCAGTTTGTTTATTTATTCAGCCTGTAGACAACATACTGAATCATATTGTGCATTAATTTGATTTACCAAACACATTTATTTATGTATTTAAATTTTTATAAAGAAACACATTTAATAAGATGAATAAATTTATCCGTTTTTAAACAGATAAAAAAATTTATAAATAAGCAAGACCATCTGAAAATATTTATACATTTGCAGGTTAAGGATGATAATAAACAACTAAGTGAACAAATATGTAAATTTTTATGTGGATGGGGGTTTTTTTCTTCAAAGATTTTATGTTAAATTTTCATTTATTTTAATTACTAAATGAGCAAATTAAGAAGGAAATGGATGCCAATGTATAAAATCAAATAAACTCAAGTAAATATTTACATTTACTTTTGCTTGTGTACAGAATTCCAAACACAACCATACACATATTTAATTTTTTCTAAATAACCCATCTTCAGAAATCCAGAAACAAGGAAATAAATAAATATTCATTCAATCTGTATTTATTTTTGTACTCTTTGTATCTTTACCATCTCTACTGCGATTTGGTTCTAAGACATTTCTTGAATGAAAAAGAAACTGTCCCACCTCAATCTCCAGCATAAGAGCTTGTCAGTTTGCAGCTTCTGTTGCCCTGTTCGCCTTTCACCCCCCACTTATCCTTTTTCAACCTTACTTCTCCATTTACTTTAATTTAACAAACTCCTTCCATGCCAGTGTTTCCTCAGAACAAATAATATTCTCCTAACTGCGTCTGGCAATAAAACACTCCAACAATTAACCACATCTCCGTTTCTATAGCCTTGTTTGCATCAGAGACGCGTCATCGCTGTCGGTACCTTGGACGGCGAAGCTTCGTATGACATCAAACTGAGGGACCGCCGACCTGTTTGAGGAGTACTTGTTGTACAGCTCCACCATGAACTGGGAGGGCGAGATCTTGCGATCCTCCTGTGGAACGTCCGAAAGGTTGAGTTGCCTCAGGAAACCTTCCTTCATGCTTTCCAGAAAGTCCTCCATTTGCGACTCCTTGTCTTCTTCCTCCGACACGTCCTCCGACAGCTCCAGGTAGAGCCACTCCAGATCTTCGCTTTGGGAGTTGTTACTGAGGGGCTTGCAGGTGCAGGAGGCGATGGAGACCACCAGAGTCACGCACGTTTGGAGCAGGAAGGTCCCTGATGTCTTCATTTTGACAAAAGAGTCTCAGCAGGCGACGACTTTGGCTTCTGAAATGAGAGTTTGAAAACGGCGTTCCCCGGCGCAAGAATGACGGTTCTGTTATCCGCTCCCATGCTCCGAGAGTAAACAGAGGGACTGGAGTCAACTGAAAAAAAAAAGTAGCTTGGCCTGCTTATCACCATCATTGATGCCTTTTGAAAGCTCTGTTATCGTATGGAGGCTGTCTGCTAATGAAGACACTGTAAACACTCCACAGTGATAATGAGGGAAGCACTGGAAAATGTGAGGTTTTTGACAAGCGGACAATTCCACAAAGTGCCTTTTTTCCCAGCTTCATGTTCACATCAACCAGAGAGGAATAGCTGGAGAAACATGGCACCTCGTAACAAGTTCCAACTTCGTCTACTTCTTCTGAAAATTGTGTTGAAACACAGCAGATAGATCAGGGATTAAATTGAGGAGAATATTAAAACAGTTCAGGTTACAAAGCGGTACCTTGAGCCCCACAGACCAGAGTCTAAAAATGAACCAAGTTTTATTAATGACTCAGTGCATGAACGAACGTAATTACGTTTCTTATTTACACACCGCAACTGCAAAAAGATAATGTTTTTTTGACATTAGTGTTACATTGACCAAGTTTTTGTGCACGTATTTAACAAAAACTCTGCTGTAGGACACATTAGTTTCAACATCTGCTAGTAGGAGAAATGCATGCTACAGCTAAAAACCTCAGATCCAAATACACATGTAATATTCAGATTGAATTATGCAAATGATGTTTTCATTCTGATCAGTTGAGACTATGACAAAACTTTTTGACCTGCAGTTATTTGACAGGCAAAACTGACTGCACCTCACTTTGAAAACAACAACCTCAATGTTATCAGATTGTGGCTGTTGCACAATCCGCACATCGGATTGGTTTATCAGTAGACGGAGGTTTTAATGAACGATGCCCTCCCCTCTGAGAGTTAAAGTTTTCAGCTCTCGTTGTCACTTAGTACTTGGGTCACGCTGAGCTTTTTGAAAATGCTCTCAACGGGGTCTTTTCAGGATTTTCGTAAGTTCCCCTCTACGGAATTAGTCATTCGTGAAAGGAGACAACGAAATGCATGGGCACAACTACAGCAATCACTGCAGGTATGGAGGGAAATTAAATTGAAAAAAAAAAAAAACACGAGAAATGTGGGTGGTGTCATATGTCAACACCACTGAACTTTGCCTCCCTGCCTTCTTCAAATCAGACAAAATTGGTGTCAGTCAATTCAACTATGTTTGAGTTGACTGACTCAAACGTTGATTTGAGTTCACCCTAGGACTCAGAAGATGCAACCACACAAACATTTTAGTTTGTGCTGCTTTGGCTTTGAAGATATTAATGAAAGTTTAAAAGTCAAAAGGTCACCACCCTCCCCTCGCACACACACTTTCACTCAATCATAATTACCATTAATCTTTCACTAATATCTTCAAAGCCAAAGCAGCACAAACAAAAGTTTTTGCTGCACAAACGTAGTCGAGTTGATTGACACCAATTTTGTCTGATTTGACAAAGGTAGTTGAGGGCTGGTTGACCTTTATGACCTCTGGAAACATCTCTTATTATCTTTCAAATGATAGCGGCGCAAACAAAAAATGTTGCTGCGCAAACCAGCACAGACGTAGCACAACTGTTTTGACACCAATTTTGTCTCATTTGAAGATGGTGGGGGACCAACTTCACTGAGGTTTCACTGTAACAAGATCTGATTTTGTCTCCAGTAATTGTTGTGCATTAGAAGAACATTGTTATTGCACTGAATATATTTAAATAAATAAATATGGGGTAGTTAATAAACATGCTAGTGCGAAGGCTAGCTAGCTAGCACGCTTCCATCCGATCAGCCAATAACCCTGTCACACCGCCTTTTGTTAGTATTGTATCAGAACAGGTGCAAGATTAAAGAAAATGCTGCTCAAATTTTGCAGTAATAACTCAATAAGATTGCTTATTCCCACACTATGCTATGCTGTCTGTACTGATAAAGATTCACTCAACTCAGCATGCAGGGTGCTGAAAGATAAATGTGAGTTTGATTTAGTTTTGATTTCGTAGTTAATAATTACCTGACTCACTTGACTGTTCATAGACAATTCAGTTTAATTCTGGGATACTAGAGAAGATCCTTAAATATATTAAATAATGACAACACTGGTAAAGGAAGACTTGTTATGTATTGGGAAAAGAAATGATACATCAAAACAATGAATTCCACAACCTTGATTCCAATACTAATGAACTATTCAGAGTGGAAGCACATCAAAGACAATATGCAAATTTTTAAAAATTGCGGGAATCGATGTTTCACAAAACCCAATTAATTTTCCACTTGTAGACCCACATAGAAGTTTTATTTATTTTTTTCGTCTATTATATAAAATCAAACAATAGTGTGACTGGCGCTTCATGCTTTCTTTCTTTGAATGGGCTTCAAACTGGGGACATTGTGTAATTTGGGTTTATGATTTTTAAAAAATATATAGTTTTAACAGATCTAAACAAAACTATTTATATTTTCAAAAATCCCTAAAAATTGTCGATAGGAATGAAGTGCATATGCTGTGCTTCCAGATTCACACTGTAATTTCAAATAGATTTGCTCAAATGAAAAACAATCACAATCCTCACCTATAATTTATAATAGTGTATTTTTTAAAAAAGATATTAGAATTATTAGCTTTACAGTCATCAATTTTATGTAAAATCAACAGTTGCCATTGACTGTATATACAAGTCAACCTTTTCTTCTATAAAATTAACATATAATCTGTTCAAGTATACACACTACTGTAATACAATTTAATTACACTTTATAGTCGCATACTTGTGAATACATACATTGGACATTTTAGTTATTGTTTAAAATCCATTATTATTTTACACATCAGTACCTGTACAAGTTTGTTTTTGGGCCACATTTGTAAGAAAACCCGGAACCGACACGCCAAGTTTTTCATTCCTCAGTTCATCAGCTTGCACAGCAGAGGGCAGCATCACACCGTTTTTCACCCTAGGACTCAGAAGATGCAACCACACAAACGTTAACATGCTTGAACTGTCAATGGAAGACCATAAGACCTTTAAATGAAAAACACAGAAACAACACTATTGGAACTGGTTTAAAGGAGATTATGATGCATTATTCATGATAAAACATCACCACGCCACAAAAATGACAACAGATGGTTCGCTTGACACAAGTTGAGCATTCTGCAGCTTCAGTTTCTGATACTCTCCGTAAGGTTGCAGCTTGTCAGCTTGACTAAAAGTTGAGTTCCTAAAATGAAAGATGAAAGCCAAGAGAGGAAAGCTGCTGAAACCCAGTTCGTCCTCAACCGCAGACAAATGGCTAACAGCAGAGTTTCCTGCACAGGGTTGTTCCTAAAGAGTCTCAGGTGACCCTACAAAAACCAGGTCCACTTGAGTTAAGGCCTAGAGTTTGAGCTAAGACAAAATCACTTTGGATATTTTTTGCCTAGAAAAAGAACCCTCATCAACATCCAGGAAGCCAACAAAAAAGATTTGAACATGTTTTTTTTAAGGGGGCCGCCTCAGCCTTTCTTTAAGGAATGTATAGAAATAAGTGAAAACAGAATACGTGATAAACATTAGCTTTAAAAACTGTTAATAGAGCAGCATGCTTTAAGGCTTTTCAGTCAGGTCAGAAAACAAACAAGAACAAGTATGATAAAAAAAAAGGCTATTTCTCAATTCTTCCCTCTGACGTGGTTTCCTGCACATTCAGCGTCAACAGTACAGTCTTTTTCTGTTTTTCAATCATCACACTTCTTGGAGGATTGGGTGGTCCTATCGACAGCCGCACGTATCCACAGACATTCCAGGGTAGACCTTCAGAACCATGTTCCTATCCGGGTCCAGGAAGAGGACACTGAGGGAATTCATCTTGTCTGGAACACAACATGGTTCCGGAATCCCTGGGATGATTCCTACAGCTCGGACGATACTCTGGATGGTGGCATGATTAGAGGGATATGCCAACTGAAGAAATCAAGGGTAGAAATAAGCAGCAATTAGCACTTAACTGAACGACACAGAATTACCAAAATAAGCATCTAAAATACTTTACAGCCAGGATCTATCAAGGATCTATCTTCTTCCTCAGTTCAGTAACAGGCCAACTCTTAGACTCAAGTGGCATTACAAGTTCTTAAGCCTTAAATGCTTCCTGTTAATATAATCATTGCCACCCTACCACCCAACAGATAATTGTTAAAATAATAAACCTCTAGAGAGACTTTATCTTAAAGTTCTAAAGACTTACTTTAGGTATAGGGAATCCACATGTCCCGGCACAGTAGTAGGCATCAAAAGACTTTGGTGCCAACACCCATTCACTCCAGCCAATGTCAGCGAAGTCCACTCTGAGGTAGCGTCTGGAGCAAACCCTGGGCTCGCTCCACTGTCTCCTTCTCGCCTTTTTCATTGTCCGTTCATCGAAATTTAAAACCTGGGGCTTTCTCATGGCCTCACTGCTCACCTGGCTGTGCTTTCTCCCATTTTTGACTTCAGTTTTTGCTTTGGCTGGGAAGTACGTGTTTTGCCAGAGTTCATGGTTTTTCAAGGTGCTGAAATGAACCTCTGGGATGTCATTGGTTTCGATCTGGAGATGTAGCTCTCTCCGGATCCTTGAAGCCGAAGTGGAGGCGGATGTATCGTCCCCGACAGGAAAAGGCCCGTACCTCTGAAGTGACAAGGCGACACTGTTTGGCTCATCTATAGCTTGATCGTCAGCATATACTAGAATGTACGGCTGGTTGGCCGGAGACAGATGCTCATGGCTGAGCGGGCCTCTCTGTTGAATCCTTGCTGCCCCAAACCCCACATCAACCTCCACAGTGATCACAAGCTCATTGACATCCCTAGCCTGTCTCACCACTGTGGTCACATCTCTGGTTTGCCAAGAGCCTTTCTTTAGAGACATGAGACTAATGTTTCCAAGAGGTGTTGCAAATCCCGAATTTGAGGAAGATCCATAGAAGAGGAGCTGTGACGAGGGCAAATGCCGGACTCCAATGGCTAGGTGGCGAGGCTTTCTCAAATGCCACGGTCTCTGATAGTGACG